TGGATCATTATTGGTAAAAGTGTTACGAAAGTACTAAAAATAGTATAAATATAGTTCAATTTGCACCCCAGGTAATTATAAAATACTAATTACGTCGAATGGATAGATAATGAGCATTTTTAACGAAAAATAAACGGATTAAGTAAATCTCATTTCGGACTTGAGCAAAAACGTCAATTATCTGTCCATTAGGCAAGATAGATAATTCGTCAAACTGTCAAAGTTGACCGATAACCTTGCATGGTGGCCTGTTGTGTTTACATAATTCAAGTCCAAGGCAGAGAGTCCAAGGCTGGCCCTTCATTTTCCGTGAATGAGTGCATGCTTAGGGCGTTTCTGTCAATCATTCTTCGGTATATTTCGCGCGGTTGAGTAATGATAACATTACGTCATCAAAATCTTGGTTCAATAAAATTGTAAGTAAATTTAGTTTAGTAGGTAAAGTAAGGTTCACATAGGTATAGTTTGAAGTTTTTACTATGATATTTTGATAAGTATTTTAAGTTGTAACATTCCCGAGTTTACAGGCGTAATTAAGCAATAACCCATCATCCCTTGCGCGATCATAGTTTACGGTTTACGCTTTTGGAAGGACAACCTTAATTGAAATAGCTGTATAACAATATATATTTAGCAATGGATAAATTATTCGGTTAATGTCATTACAGGGGAGTTAAAAACAAAAAGTAAGGTCGTCTTGTTGTAGAACCAACCCAATGTTTCAAATTTCAAATTGATCTTTTCATTTCAGATAAACCTTTGATTGCTTATCTGCATAACTTGTCCCCAGTAAAAAGAAGCCAGAGAGACAACTTGTATTTCCATACGACATTGCAAACGGAAAAGACGACGTACAGATCAGTATGTTTCTCTCCAGAAAAGCATCAAAATTTTTTGGCCAAATATGAGTCGTAAAAATTTCAAAGTTCCAGCTAAAAAGGAACGACAGAACAGATCAGGACGAGGTGGAAGATCCACTAGACTCGGAGGTATCGTTCGATATCAAGGAGATCGAATCCGAAGATAAATGCAAGCCTGGGATAACCACTGTCTCGGAAGTTATGGAAGGAGATACCAACGCTATTGTGAATGTTTGTGGCCGCATAACGTTAAGAGGTAGCGAGGAAACGGTCTTGTCCAAAGGCAAGACACTTCGTAATAGTGTAAATTAACTCATTCCAATCACTCAAACGACCATACAGGTCATATTACCTTTATGCATTTTCTACTTCGACAATTTCAATCATAGTTTAATTAATAATCATTTTCAATCTATTATAGTAATTCACCGTTTCCACGGTTTTTTATATACCTTTATACTGGGCTAGTATTCCAAAGGTCGTAGGTTCGAATCCCACCGTGGCCGGGCATATTTTTCAAGCTCGCCCGGTGTGGATATGCACTCAGAGTAACATCGCAAACATACCTTTAAAAAGTTACAATAAAGCTAAATCTATAGGAAATAACGTTATTTAGTTATAAATTTGTAAAGGAAATCTAACAGTCAATCGCTTTCGATAAAACCTTGACCGACCTTGTCCTTGTTATTTCCGTCGCTTGCAACTAACGATGAACGGTCGCTCATAAAAACATTGCCTATCGTGTGAGAATCTTAAGTTTCCTATTTTGATATAAAAGCTATTTTTTCAATAAATAACATAACATAACAGCTATTTTTCAATATTATTAAACTTGTTGAATCAATATTTTAAGTTTCACGCCAGTTGTCATCGCATCATATGTTTCAGAAGGCATGCAACATGTACGCACTGCGTACCTATTTTTAATATTTACATGAAGTTCATTCACAAATTATGACGTAATGTCATGTAATAAGAATAAAACAACTCAAAAAGTGTAAACATTATTTGAGGTGGCATAGTCTACAAAAAGTGACTGTGGGGACATTTGGGAGATCTGCCACAATCTGACAACAAGGCAGCATTCACTACCTCTAAGGTAACCTAGTTATATTATTTGTGGGATTGTTTTTCCCTCTCCATAAGCTGTGGAGATGAGATGTAACTTTTAAGGTCTTTTAACATCTGTCATTATTTCCTAATCGTATAAACAATAAAACAATTAAAACAATGCAGCGATCAATCTGGCCGATCTCACGTTTTTATACCGAATGTCCATGACGAATAGCATTGAATCGGCCGGAAAATCGCTGTGTGTAAACGTAAAAGTTTACTGACCACTTCACCCTGTGGTTAAGCATCTTTCGTACGTGCGCAGGGGCGGATTCAGACAGGTTTGACAGGTTTATATAAACCTGTCAGATTTTTCAAAGAGAGAAAAACCCTCCATGTATATAACTAATTTAAAGAATATTCTGTTTCATAAAATTGATGTTGTCTAATCTATTACGCCACTTAATAAACACTGTTGTTGAAATTTGATTATGGATTACCGAGCGTATAATTAAGGACTTATCGCCCTGCATGGTTTCCTCTTACGAAATGTTGTAATACTAGACCAATATATTATCTGCGAATATATCGTCGTGGGTCGTGGACTTGTAAACATCACATGAATCACACATAACCGCCCGCAATTATCAGTAAACCGGTGGTCAGAGTTTTCTCCATGAGAGTAAACCGGTCGACACGCCATTCGATTGGCTAAACGGCTGCGCTCCGGCGGATGTAAACCGGTCATAAACCTGTGAGTCGAGCAGTATTTAGAGAAAACTGGGCATGAAAGTTAACAGAACTCGAGGACGCGCGAAATATGTTTATAATTTTGCGTGACTGAATCTTTGCGTAAGCATTTACATGGATTTCCTGTTCATTTTGAAGGTTTTTTTAGAAGTGTATAGTCTAAAGTTATAACGGTAAGCTATTTCTACTTACTGTATAGTAAATATCGATTCATCAACAAGCGTATCGATGTTTATACGTGTAACTACAGTCTATACTCATGATAGGGCGAAATATGATAATGTACGTATAATCTTGCGTGACAGAATCATTGCGTTGGCGAGAGAGAATCAGGAAATGATTGTGATTATTTGTGAAGCTTTATTCACGCTCTTGCAGTTTGGTTTCTAGTTCATTGTTAAGTTGGTTTGAAAGCGTATAGATCTAAAATTACAACTATGTTTATATTAAAAGCATCTCTACTTGTACTTATAATAACTATTGATGCGTCAGCAATTCAGTTCCCAATCCGATATTTTCAGCACTAGCTAATAGGTTTCCCAAAAGGTTCAATTCATCGTTTGAGCTGCGTGTTAGTCCAAAATTCTCTTAAAAGATATATTTTCTAATCATTAAATTCATTTAAAAAGTGACGCCAGAACGCAGGAAATGCTGTTTCAGAGGCCCAAATTTTAAAAATTTCCCGGGGGAGAATGCCCCCGGGCCCCCCTAATGGTTGTGTGGACCTAGTAAACCTGTCATCCGAAACGCTGAATCCGCCCCTGGTGCGTACACGCACGTAAAAGTTTACTGATGCCCGACTATGACTTATTTATTTATCAATATAGAGGTATGAAAATGGGTATTAATGCTCTGTATATTATTTAATCTCATACATAAATAGAGATTATGATGAAATAGAGATGTATGGGATTAAATAATATACAGAGCATTAATACCCATTTTCATATAGCCTGCGTAGCAGGCGCTATTTAGGGAGGAGGGCAAGGGTGGGAAAAGCTGGGGGGGGGGGGAGAAGCGCCTGCTACGCAGGCTAATTTTCATAAAGAGATATTGATAAATAAATAAGTCATAGTCGGGCACCCTGTGTCATCACCAGGAATTGTGAAAGCTACTAAAAATTTTACAAGTTATATATATATAGGTGTGATATAAGATGATCTTATCTGTCAGCAAGTCCTAATTAAAGATAACAAGTTCTTTTGACGCTTTAGTCCCATGGTTTCCTATATGTCGTGTGTCGTGTGTCGTGCCCGTGGGTTAAAAGTCGTGTGTCGTGGGTAAAGTCGTGGGTAAAGTCGTGGGTCATAAAATGTGCTAAAAACGCATTTTTTCACGAAGATATTATTTTTATCGTACTTTTTCCATTCATTCATTAGATAAATAAAGGAAAATTTATCGCAACAAATCTCCAGTAATAAAATATTGCTGTTATCTATAGTATAACAAGTAAATGTTTGATTTTTTCCCCCGGCGTTTCGTATAGTCTAATAAGCCTATAGAGTATAAATGTATTGTTTGATGATAAAATGTCTTAAGTTATAGGATATAGGTTTATCAGTTAGCTTTGGAAGTGTTATAGTCCTTATCATGAACGTCGCGAATAACTATGTCGATTGCACATGTCTGATACAAACATATTGAGCCATAAATTTTACGCTGCAGTGCCTGTATAATTAGTGGCTAACGCTCCTTTAATACGCTCGAGCCTCAAATTTTGCTATTTTATCTCCTATACCTAGTATATGTTCGTGGCCCTTAAAGATAGACAAACATTTCATGTGTATGTGGCGTTCGGAAATATTCCATAAATTGCTACGATTTGGGATTTCGCGATTGAAAACCGAAATGATTTATGCGATGTCGCCATGTCGGGCTATTTGCCAACCGAGCGCGCTAGCCGCTGTTATTTTGACAGAATATGATACCTCTACACTTTTCAGCCGTAATACATAATGCGCGGATTGTAATCATATACATATCATAGTATCATTTAATTTAGCTTCAAAAACTTATTTTGTTAAATGTAAAATGCGCAGCATGTTGCGTACATTGTTTCATATTGAATATCCTAGATCAGGATTCGAAGATGTGTATAACAATAACCATTTAATATAATTATAAATATGTACAATACTTAGTCAGTATTCCGAATATAAAGCGAATATAAACTGTTTACTTATTACAATCCCACGCCATCTTGAACAACATCAAAAGTCACGTGATAATCTACTGTCCAGTTATATGTGCGGTTCAGTGTTTCAATATATAAATCTAACATAAAGTATAGCACACTCCCCCCGTTGATCACCTGAGTTGTGATCAACTAATTTCTGTTTATAACTGTTCGTTTCGTATCAATTCTCTTCGTTTCTCTGTGGCCTTGACTGCTGCTGCGCGTCGAGGTCTCTGAGTTATAGACTCTTCTTTCTGTGGTTGGATTGTCGTTGAGTCCATGTCTACTTTCTGTTGGGTTATGTCCTGATTACCGATTTCAATTGGATACAGCTTTTGTATAGGACGTCGAAGCGTTGTTGGTTTCTTACCTCTCTCAGCGACTTTCACTTTAGCTCCACGAACCTTACCATCATTACCACGAACTAAGTGCATCACTCTGCCAAGTCGCCAAAGATTTCGAGAACGGTTTTCGTCATGCACGATTACGATATCATTTATCTCCATCAATTCTTTATTCGATTGTACCGATTTTCTGTCTCTATGCGCTTCTCTCAATTCCAATAAATACTCGGTTTTCCATCTTCTCCAGAAATGATCTAGTAGAGAAGCCAAGTGCCTTTCACGTTTTGCAATATCCGTTGACGTTGGTTCCCAATCTTTGTCTTCCACTTCGTCTTGCGTTGGCAAGGAAAGAAGTCTTCGACCATGCATGAGATGTGATGGTGTAACGGGTTCTTCGCAATCTTCTGTTGATGTGTATGTTAGTGGTCTCGAATTCAGAATGGCTCCTATCTCGACAAGTTCCGTAAGGAGTTCTTCATACGTAAGTCGCGCGTTCCCTAGTGTTTTACGTAGACATCTTTTCACTGATTTGATCATTCTTTCGTAGAATCCACCCACCAAGGGGCCTTTTCGAGGATAAATGACCACTTGATCTTTGATGAGGTGAAGTGGTTAATTATTTTTGGGCATTCAAATAGAGACATAAGTTTTCGCGAAGCCGATTTGAAGGTTTTTGCATTGTCTGATATAACCAGCGATCAGTGCTGTAAGTAACTTCGTTAAAAGTAACTAGTTACAAGTAATCGTTACATTTTCCAGTAACTGTAACTGTAACGGTAACTCGTTACATTTTGGGAACATGTAACTGTAACGGTAACTAGTTACAAAAATAGCTTAAAAATTCAAACGATTACAAATTTGTCAAACATCGTTACAAGTTACTTTTTTGGCTTGAATCGTCGTCCCAACATCGCATCCTCAGTTCAAATAATGCAAATATGTGCGCCCTGTTTACGTTTTGCCAACACGTCGGAACTAATCGGAATGCCTCGCTTATTCCCGGCCTGTCAATGTCTCGCGCGCTTATCGTCACGTGACTTAGTCACTAGCGCGCATTTAATATTATAATTTCGCAAATATGTCAAACGAAGATGGTGATTCCGTTACAGAAGATATTTCAATTCTTGAAGTTGAACATTGCGAAGACGAAGAGCCAGAACCAACAAATGAGAACGTCAACGTGGGCCACCCGTGGCCATATCTTTCCGATATGTTTGCTATAAAGTCAATAAGCAAAACGAATGCGAAGGTAACCTGTTTACTCTGTGCTCCCAAGTACAAGGAATGCAGTTCAAGTTTGTCTTCTTTGTCGAATTTGCGCACACACGTCAAGGTAGGGATCTTCCAAATTTAACAAACATAAATTCATAATTACTAATTAGTTACAAATAACTATGAATAGTTTTATGTTATTTAAATATGTATAACATAACATATAATGTTGTATAATTTTCCCATAACTATTATTGAGCTAATAGTATTTATCGAACTCTGGGGACGGAATGTGACTGCCATCAATTATATGTCCTCTCAAGAATAAAAATCCCATCAGAATGAGTAATACTGTGAACAGGTCAGTTACATTTTGTTTATTGTGTTGGGGCACTCAACTCCCTATATCTGACCCCTTGATTATGAAAGATATTCCATTCTGTTGTTTAATATTTTTGCATAATTCAACGCTTTAGAGAGTTCATCAACATAAATTATCTGCCTTCAACAAGCTATGTGATGAGGCTAAAACTAAAAGAAAAATGCCTTCAAGGAAAAGGAGTAATAGTGATGCCAGAGACAGTGGAGGACCATCTGCTCCTAAACAACAAAAGTTGGATGCTGTGCTTTCCTCTCAAGTTAAATACAATGCCAATTTGGTTACTCAGGCCCAAGTGGATGATTTGCTGATCAAGTTCATGACAGAAGCTCTTATGCCGTTCTCATTGGTTCATGAACAACCTGCATTTAAAGAATTTTTGTTAGGACTTCAACCAAATCGATCAGTAATGTGCAGAGCTACAGTGGTGCGGCGAATCAGTGACAAAGCCAGTCTAGTGAAGAAAAATTTAAAAGAAGCCATGGATAAAGTTGAACATGTTGCAACAACTACGGATTGCTGGAGTGCTCATGGCCGTTCACTCATTGGTGTAACTGGACATTGGATTGATCCCGAGACTTTGGAGAGAAAAACTTGTGTTCTTGCTTGTCGGCGTCTCAAAGGTAAACACACATATGATGTACTTGCTAGCCAGTTGGAAGACATTCATACCGAATTTGAAATAAGATCCAAAGTTTCTAAAACCACAACAGACAATGGATCAAACTTCGTAAAAGCCTTCTCTGTTTTTGCTGAACAAGAACAAGACAATCATGATGATCCAGATAAAGAGTGTCAGTTTGAAGATGTTTTTGATGATTTAACACAGGCGAGTGCAGGTCTGGAGTACCAGCTTCCACCACATCAACGTTGCGCAGCACATACTCTTAATCTTATTTCAACATCTGATGCAGAGAAAGCTGAGGCTGATGGAAACTACAAACGACTTAGCAGGAGTACCTTTGCAAAGTGTTCCAGCCTCTGGAATAAGAGCTCCCGCTCTGTTCAAGTTGCAGAAATGGTTATAGAGAAGTGTGGCTTAAGTTTGATCAAACCAAATGCAACTCGATGGAATTCCATTTTTATGGCTGTCCAACGCATCAATCGAATCATCAAGGAAAAAGGAGAAAATGTCATTCATAGTGTCTGCTCCCTGGCAGATGTTCCTAAGTACAGTATACTTTATAATTGTAACTTTGTGCATGGGATGGTTGACTGAAATTATGATTTATGAACATATACACTAAACACTCAGCATATGACATAGTAGAATTTAGTGAGCTAGCTAAGTGTATTTGTTTCTGTTTAGATTTAAACATGCAGAAATTTCATTCCTTAATCATTATGCTCAAGTGATGAAACCAGTAGCTCAAGCACTTAACATTTTACAGGGAGAAACAAACCACTCGAATGCATACATGGGTTATCTAGCACCAACGATAACTATACTGAGAGATAAGCTTTCAAAGAAGTTGGGTATTCCAGTTACGAAACCATTGGTCCAAGAATTATTAAATGGAATTGATAAGCGATTTGATTCAATACTAAATGACAAAAAGATCATTGCTGCTGCAATTCTTCACCCCAAATTTAAAGAAAGCTGGTCTACTGATTGTGATGTTATTGAAAGAGGTAACAAATACAATACAACTTGAATATGAAGTGAATTAGTAAGGATTCCCATTATAGACAGCATGGATTTATTTAAACTTGTGGGATTTGTTTATAAATTTTAGGCATTTCCTTCATAAATGAGAAATTAGAAGGTTTGGTAGAACCAGTAGTTGATGAACCTGGACAGTCCTCTTCAGAGGATCAAGATGAGACAGATTTCTTCCAAGCTAAGTACAGGAGATCAAGTGATTGTACTTTAAAGTCATTTCTTGAGAGTCCTGTTGAAAAACTTTGTGATCATGCAAGATGGCCCTTGCTTCGCAAACTCTTTATTGAGCTCAACACACCATTGCCAGCCAGTGCTGCTTGTGAAAGACTTTTTAGTGCTGGTGGATTGATCTTCAGGCCACATCGCTATGGTTGGCGATTTGTTTCAAAATTCAACAGAGAATATTTGTTCAACTTCAAGAGTTTGCATTCATATTCAAGAAAAATATTCATTCAACTTCAACAAATTTATTCATATTCAAGAAAAATATTCATATTCAACATAAATATTCATTCAACTTCAACAAAAATATTCATTCATATTCAACATAAATATTCATTCATATTCAACATAAATATTCATTCAACTTCAACAAAAATATTCATTCAACTTCAACAAAAATATTCATTCAATTTCAACAAAAATATTCATTCAACTTCAACAAAAATATTCATTCATATTCAACATAAATATTCATTCAACTTCAACATAAATATTCATTCATATTCAACATAAATATTCATTCAACTTCAACATAAATATTCATTCAACAGAAATATTATTTTGTATTCAAGCTCAAAAAATATATATTCAAGGATTTCAAGGCCTCAACCCTCACGTCGGCCTGCTCGCAGGCTACAAACTACAATTCATCATGGCGGAAAATTTGGAAGTAAACGAAGATATAAACGTTTCGCAGCAGCTAGAGCAATTCTTCCAAGATATTGATAACCTGTTGAGTACGTGCGACCAAGAAAGAAATACGATATCCCGACCCTTGATCGAGAGAATAATAAGCAAGTTAGAACTGAGTATAGAGGTAATACTGCAAATTATTCCATTACTAATTGAGAGTAGAAGTGTCGTGAACGAAATTGGCACAAATCTTCAGATTATCCGTCGTGATTGGTGTCGGAAAATTCAAGAATTGGAGTTACGACGTCCGCCTAATTGTACCCATTTAGCTGTATACTCGCTTTATCCACCACAAGTGACGGCCCCAGAAGGACCTGGAAGACCGAAGTACGACATTTCAGAGGAAGTATTACTTAATCTTAGAGCCCTGGGTTACTCCTGGAAAGAAATATCGTCTCTTCTTCTTGTTTCACGAACGACTTTGTGGCGAAGAGTTGCAGAGCTTGGAATAAGAGAGGAAACAGGTTTTTCTAATATTTCTGATGAACAACTTGACCAATTTGTTAAAGCATTTATTGATACCCATGGTTTCCATGTTGGATTTTCAATGGTCTATGGTCATCTTCGTTCCACTAGATTGAAAGTGCAGAGTGTTCGTGCTAGCTTGAGAAGAGTGGATCCAGAAAATTCTGGCTTAAGATGGGCCACAGTAATCACTAGACGAACCTATTCTGTGCCTGGCCCCAATAGTCTTTGGCACATAGACGGTCACCATAGTCTAATTAATTGGGGATTTGTAATCCATGGTGCCATTGATGGATTTTCACGGCTTATTTGTTTCTTAAAGTGTTCTACAAACAATAAGAAAGAAACTGTTGAAGCTTTGTTTATTGAAGCTACTGAGAAGTATTCTTGGCCGTCACGTGTAAGAACAGACTATGGTGGTGAGAACACTTTAGTATGGCAACACATGCGAGACGTGGTGAGAACCGGGGATCTGCATTGGTGGGAAGTTCAACACAAAACCAAAGAATTGAACGCTTGTGGCGAGATTTATTTCGATGCGTCTGCAGCACATCTTACTACACCTTTATTGCAATGGAGGAAGCAGGCATACTTGATCGCAACAGTACTTTGCATCTGTTTATTCTCCACTACATATACTTACCAAGAGTAAATGTTGCAATTGATAGCTTTACTAGGGCTTGGAATAGACATCCCATGAGGACAGAGAGGAACTGGTCACCGGAGAGAATGTGGACAAATGGGATGATAGACGTTACGAACCGGAATCTATCAGCTGTAGCCGATGACAGAGATGAAAACAATGATGTCCAAGATTTTGATTGGTTTGGCCAGGATCCTCATGCACCCCTTCCTCCTGATGATGGACTGTCAACTGTAGAGGTCAATGAAATTCAGGTTGACCTACCTGAAGAAATAATCCAGGTGTTGTATCAGGAAGTCAACCCACTCTTGGAATCTGCAACGTTTGGCGTTGATTGCTATCAAGTAGCTTTGGATCTTGTTGAAAACATGCTTTCCCCTTAATTACCCATGGTATACTTTTGAAGCTATAAACTTAGGCCCATGGAGCATTTCACTGATGATAACAAGCAGTCATTTTGGACTGCTGGAAAAAGTTCAACATACCAATATATATGTTCAATGCTGTAACACTAATATGGCTCCTGTGATATCATGTGAAAGTACTCTATTAATTTCTTTGAAATAAGTAAGCCCATAAGTTAAAAAAATGAATTGTAGGTTGATTGGGCTCTGGTTGCCTGGTTAACAACGTCCATTTAATTCATTTTCAAATGATTTACAGATTTGTTTTCCTTATAATATTAATATGGTTACAAATTATATAAAGGTTGGACATGTGTACTCTATGGGATTTAGAGTCCCAATGATTTTATGCATGGAGGCAGTGAGAGTGACAAAAATTAGTTCATTCTAGTTTTTGTAACCATGGATAATAAAATAAATGGATAGGACTCTCGCTGACGTAAGCAAAAACAACCTAGCTGCAATCTGTGACGTCACGCGTATTGCAAAGTTCTCTGCATTTTTGTTGTTTCGCTATATTTTCCGCCTTAAAAGAGCAATATTGAAGCATAAACCGGTCTAATTGTTTTAAAAACATGCCTA